TCCTCCTCCACCACCACCACCACCTCTGCAACCCCACCATCAGTACTCACTTCTAGCACCGACGTGTACCCTACTTAAGTAAGGAAATGTTATGCAGGAAAACCACCAAGCTCAGAGAGCATCAAGGACCCCATAGTCGTCGTCCTCCTCCTTCTCCTCCTCCTCCTCCTCCACCACCACCACCACCTCTGCAACCCCAACATCAGTGCTCACTTCTAGCACGGACGGTGTACCCTACTTAAGTAAGGAAATGTTTTGCAGGAAAACCACCAAGCTCAGAGAGCATCAAGGACCCCACAGTCCTCCTCCTCCTCCTCCTCCTCCACCACCACCACCACCACCACCTCTGCAACCCCACCATCAGTACTCACTTCTAGCACCGACGGTGTACCCTACTTAAGTAAGGAAATGTTTTGCAGGAAAACCATCAAGCTCAGAGAGCATGAAGGACCTCATAACCAGCCAGGCATTAAAGCGTTTTGGATGAATGCAGTCCATGAGTTTTCTTGCAGATTTCCTTCTCTTCATCACCGGCTCTTGCTAACCAAGGAAGGAGACGCTGGTCCAAAACCTCAGACGGGCCTCCGATTCCCTCGCCCGCCCGCTTCAGCTCAACCGAGGCATCCTAGTCCAGTGGTGGCGAACCTATGGCACTAGTGCCAGAGGTGGCACTCGGAGCCCTCTCTGTGGGCACTCACGCTGTCGCCCCAGCCCCGCCTCCCCCCATAGCCTCCTCACCAGCAGCCCCCCCAGAGAAGAGTCACCCCTGGGTGCGGCCCGTGCAGAACTGCACAGCCAAGCACATGGCAGCTGGGCAGTAGATGATGCTGCGGGGTGTGGGTGGAGGGCATGGCCACCATGGCCCTACAGGGCCGCCTGGGCGATCTGCGGCGTGCCAGGGATGGCCCTGAGGGTGGGCGGAATGAGGGCTGAGCAGGGCAGGAGCGGGCAGGCCGAGCGGGGGTGGGCCGGTTTTTGGGCACTCGGTCTCTAAAAGGTTCGCCATCACTTGTCCTAGTCTTTGGGGCTGAATTCACCCAAGAGGGGAAAGAGGTCGCGCTTTGCAAAAAGAGACAAATGCCGCCCACCCTTTCAGGAAATTCGCCTCTTTCTTCCCCTTTCTCGGAACCGAAGCAAGGAACGCGCCTTTGAACCGGTTTCCCCAAGCAAAGTCTCCCTGCACAAACCTACCCTTCTCACGTGCAAAAAAAAAAAAGAAGAAGAAGGCTCGTTTCGGTTGGGAAAAGGAGACCTTCTCAACAACGGAGGGCTCGTGGGGGTTCTTTTTTTTGTTTTGTTTTGTTTTGTTCTGTTTGGTTTTATCGGTAGCGGTTTCTAACTTTGGGTTGCGAGATGGCTCGGACGGCGAGTCCGTCCTTCCGCGCGTTGAACCGAGAGGGAGAGGAACACCTCGACACCTCAACATTGGGGTGCCCCAACTCTGCGGGGAGGGGGGGGGTTTAAGAAGCGACCGGACAGCCATCTGTCCGAAACAACGCAGGTTTCCTGCGAGAGCGGGTGGGTTGGACTAGATGACCTCCAAGGTCCCTTCCGACTCTTGTTACTCTTCCTATCCAGCGCCCGCAAGCCGAAGGATTCTCCGCGCCTCGACCCGCTGCGTGGTTTAGATCAGAATCAGAATCGAGCTGGAAGGGACCTTGGAGGTCATCTAGTCCAGCCCCCCCCCCCCCGCGCTCAAGCAGGAGACCCTATAGTATCATTGATCTTAAATTCGGATGGGATCCCGGGATGGAAAGAGATCCAGAGCTCCCCCCCCCCNCCCCCCCCCCATCCCGCGATCCCTCGCTGCTTTCCGCGGGGGGTATTTGCAGCCAAAGCCAAGCCCCGCTCCCCTTTTCGCCACCCCTCGCCTTTACCTCTCCGGCATCGATGCAAGACGTGGGGATCCCCCAAGACATCCAAAGTCCCTGGAGGAGCCAGCCCTGTCTTCTGCCGCCCCTTTGCATTCTGGGCTTTGTAGTCCAGGCGTTGCAAATGCACTCCGTGGGAAGCCCGAGTCAACTTTCCATTTTTTATTTTTATTTTTAAATGTCTCTGCATGTTTTGCCATTTTCTTTCTTTCTTTCTTTTTAAATGCATTTTGGGTTGGGTTATTTTTTTTTTTTTTTGCTGCCAGGGGAGATGGATGGACTACAACACCCGGCAGGCACCGAGCGCGCAGCATCGCACGGAGCCCGGGTGGAGCGAGATTGGCGTGGAAACTACGTTACCCACAAGGCGTCGCGGCCGAAACTGAGCGCCTGGGCTGCTTCGGGTGGGGGTGGGTTGTCTCTTCGGTGTCTTGACAAACAAAGACCCGAGGGGAGGGGGACCCCTGCCTTCGGACGCGCGCCCCAAGATTGGGCCGTCCTGGCATTTAGATGTGCATCGAGTTCAGTAGTTGCATATTCAGACGTTCAGCGGAGATTGAGCAATTCCCGCATTCCGACCTGCAGCGGAGATTTAGCAATTCCTTATTCAGACGTACACCAGAGATGAAGCAATTCCTGCGTTTGGATCTGCATCAGAGATAATAATAATAATAATAATAATGATGATGATGATGATGATGATGATGATGATGATGATGATGATGATGATGAAGTTGGAAGGGACCTTGGAGGTCATCTAGTCCAACCCCCTGCTCAGGCAGGAAACCCTATACCATTTCGGACAAATGGCTGTCCAGTCTCTTCTTAAAAACTTCCAGTGTTGGAGCATTCACCGCTTCTGGAAGCAGGTTGTTCCACTGGTTGATTGTTCTCACTGTCAGGAAGTTTCTCCTCAGTTCTAGGTTGCTTCTCTCCTTGGTTAGTCTCCATCCGTTGCTTCTTGTCCTGCCTTCCGGCGCTTTGGAGAATAGCTTGACTCCCTCTTCTTTGGGGCAGCCCCTGAGATATTGGAACACTGCTATCATGTCCCCCCTCGTCCTGCTCTTCGTTAAACTAGATCTGCTGCAGCAGTTCCTTATTCAGACGTGCAGCAGAGTTTTCGCATTCTCGCCTTTAGATGCGTGGCCCTGCTTATCGACTCATTGGTGGGGACCCCTCACTGCAGCTGGAAAACCAGAAATCAGGTCGCCCTTATCTGGGTCTGTGTTGCCCGATGCA